CCGAGGCAATTCAAAATAAATATATATTAAACTACATGAAGAAACAACAAACTTTGATTCGTAAAAAAGTAGCTATATAATACAAGGGAGTTCAATGATGAAAATCTAATTATTTTGTGAATTTTCCATAAATTTGGTATCTTTTGGTCGTGGTACTTGCTACTCCTAGCATATAAAAGAATTTTGACATTACTTAGAATTTGCCACCTCGAAGTCAATCTCGCCACGCACTCCACACAACTGATCAGACTTGAAACTGACATCCACAGACCTTCGTCCTCTTCGTGATGCTTCCAAAGTTACCTTGACAGCAGCTTCTTCGTTTGGCTTCACAGAATGCCTGTGATAAGACATTGGAACAAATAAGAATTTTCTTTTATCAACTGTAATAATTAATCATTTGCGCGACGATTTTAAATGACATGGTGAATCGCACCATTGTTCTTACTTGAGGATTTTGGTGATTGCATCTGGACTCAGGTGGCGGGAACTTTCAATGTTGAAAACACAATTTGTCAGTTTAACGGGAAGTGGATTCTTGAAGTAGAATTTAACTTCAAAACTCTCGCCTCTGATGATCTTTTTAGGAGCCTGAAGATAGAAAATACTTTCAAATCACAATATACAGCTGTTTGCAATAATTCTGACCCCCCTACACTAATATTTATATATATCAAAATAGCCTTAGAAATTATGGGATACCATTGCTGATATTTTTTTTAGAAAGTAATCAATCTGGACAACTCAAAAAATATATCAGTCATGATATCCCATAATATTAAAGCTCAGTTTGATATATATGAAATATGGCAGAGGGGGTCAGAATTATTGCAAACAGCTGTATAATGATTTTTAAATCATAAAATAATTTAAAAATATTATTTACAAACTTTGTAAATGAATCAACTTTTTCCAGTGATGATGCCAGATATCGATTATTCCTCTAGATGTTTTACATATTGATTAGTATGAGGGATGTCCAGGATTCACTGGAAAAAATCGCACACTTTAAAGGTTGTATATTTGATGTAGATATGATGTAAGTGTCAAAAATTCTGTAAATTTGATGTAAATCATTTCCATCAAATTTCCATCATTTTGGACACTTACATCATATTTCCATCAAATTTACAACCTTTATCGCACACTTTAAAGGTTGTAAATTTGATGTAGATATGATGTAAGTGTCCACAATTCTGTAAATTTAATGGAAATCATTTTACATCAAATTTACAGAAATTTGGACACATCATATTCACATCAAATTTAGAACTTTTAAAGCGCGTGATTTTTTTTCCAGTGATGGTATCCCCTGTCCTCATGGGACCGTCCCAAGATCTCCAGTATACAAGTGCATACCCCATAGTTTACTAGTGTCTCTCCCATACCCAAGTCCCCGTGGGGACTGTCTAGCGGCATCCCCTAACTGCATGTACCCTATAGTACCCTGGCCTACCCTGTATGCTACATAGTATATGAAGTATTTCTTACCGTATACAAGAGTTGTGGCTTTTTAAACTCCACGGTATCCATACCATTGAAGACTTGCTCTGTTTCCTTCACTTTGGCTTTGAAAAACGCTTTAATACAAGCATCAGCTGCTGCTTTCCTAAAATACTCTTCTGCTGTTATGGTTACTGTTAGAGTGCGTTCTGAAAGATAAAGATTTTGAAATCATGCCTGACTGATTTGTGTATGAGCATGGTGGAGGAAATATCTGTGGTATAGTGGTTTATGCTTGTTACTTGTAATTTGAAATAGCAGCATTATTAGTACATAAGGACAATTATACATAAGGAAATTGAAGGAGACAGGGAGTGGTGCTAACAACTGGCGCGCAGCCATATCGTTTTCGTGACCTGCTACTATATGCCTCCGTCTGAAATCGTTTTTCTGTAAAAATAGCAACCGCTTATGCAGAAGTACACTGATGCCAAACTTAATTTGTTAAGTTTTAGTTCGGCTACAATTATAGTGTCATTATAGTGTCGAGGCTTTTTATGTGTAGGTAGCAGTTCAGTTTTGAGTTTTTGTTTCTCAGATTGAATTATAAAATCTCTGCGGAACCTACAGAAGCAATTATAACTATGCTAGGAAACACAATCCGGACAATGTAATGATAAATTTTTATTGATGATAAAATGTCCGTCATTTCTCCACACGTGAAAAATGAAAAAAAACAAAAACAAAAAAAAAAAACAAAAAAAAACACAACAACAACAGCAGCAGCAACAACAACAACAACAACAGCATAAAACAACACGTACCTTCTTTGCCGTTCAGTTTCACTTCTTCGCGCAGTGTCTCAAGGTCCTTGGCAACAACACCAGTGTAAAACGCAACTTTGGTAACAATAGAGGCCTTAATGGTCTTTACTTTAGTGGAATTGTTCTTGATGAGCATCTTGATGTCCACATCTTCACCCAACTTCAAGTTTTCATCATCAATTATAATTTCAAAAGTGACATCCTKTGATGATGKTTTKTTRTAGATRTTTTCATCTCTTCTGGAACTGAACTTGTTTGCTTGCATCACGGCTTTTCTTTCTTTTGCACTTTCTATGAATTATGCAATTTAGAAAAAGGAAAAATTTCAAGTCACGTGCTTAAAMTTTGAATAAAACGTCCTAAAAGATGCATAGCATCCACACAAAAAAAGCCATAACTCATTCCTCATTCCGCTCAGAGCTATAATACCACTGTATTCACAAGATAATAATAAGCGAAAATAACGATGTTTTGTGTTTTTCTTATCAACAACCATGATGTAATTACAGCAGATTTCCATCAATGCATTCTGGAAACAACTTTTCACGCGTTTCCTTGTTTTGATAGTCAATGTTTTACTGCTCGTTGGCACATGAATAACAAAGGTTTATTCGTCATTTCAGTTAACATACCTTCAGGGTATTTGTAGTCCATAGTCAAGTCCAGGCGATCATTGCTACCAACAGCCTTGGTACTTATAAATGCACCAATAGAATTTTTATCTATGTWGCAGACTTCCATCTCTCCATCATCGAATACATCCCAGTACACACGATCACCGTTCACCTCTCCAAATATAAAGCCACCATCATATGGAATGTAGACCTCGCCCTCCTTGATTGCCTTTACTGGACACGGGCCGCATCGGAACACCCCTTCAAACTAATGCAAAAGATAAAAAAAACAAATATACTGAAATAATTTTATCAGCAAAGAGCATTGCGTTCGATGTATTTGTATGGATCACAAACGAACCTGCCCAAAGTACCACGGAATACCCTCAAAAGATCTTTTACTTCCAACCCAGATCCTCCCGCGGTCGTTTAACACATATTCCTGGCGCTCATCTTCCTTGTCCATGTATACAGTGTCATCTGAAACAAATGCAATAATTCCTGTCCTTAAACAACAAAACACTTTTGGGATTCTATTTGCCGAAGTGTGAAATTGATCTATCAGTTGATTAGCAATAGACTCATCTGAACCTTTGACGTCACTGCTTGATTAGCAATGCATTGTGGGATCAGTTTCTGGAGAAAACAAAAGAAATCTGGCATGTTTTGTCCCAAACATATGTCCTACAATGCATTGCGTATGAAAAGCTTCAGAGGTCTATTCAGCCATAAATTCTCTCAGTTGTTCAGAGAACGTTAGTCTCTTTTAACACCGTCAAATTTCCTCCCCGAAAGTTATTTTGGGGAAGAAAATTTGACGCGACCGGAAGTCGCGGCTGTTAAAAGAGACTAAGAGAACGTGAACTATACGAGTACTGTACCTTTGCACCATGCGTTAAACAAAACAAAAAACGTTTCGTTAAGTTTCTTCCTAAAACTGAGACATTCTTCGCTTCCAGTTTTCTTGGTTTTGGTTTCAACGTAGACGGAGTACTCCCCAACAAAGGCATTAGCAGGAGACATCAATGTCAGGTTAACTTTGTTGCCATCTGTACCATCAACGCGCATGCCCCAGGATGACGTAGAAAGTTCTTTGTCTTCTTTGACACGAATCAAAGAGTTCTTACTTTTTTGAGGTCGAGACCCTTCAAAGAAGAAATGTCAACAATAATTTGCATAAATTTTTGAATCCAAGTTTGGTCATATATTTGCCACTGTAACAATAGTCTTCTTCAAGGTTCCCTGCGCCATCTTGAATAGCAGCCGTGGCCTTTGCATCGAAGCAAGACGACAGCGTTAAGTGTACAATGATAGATACCTTCTTTCACATCTACAGACAATTATTCACAGGTATCTATCATTGCAAGCTCAACGGTTGTCTCTTTGATACAAAGGCACGGCTACCTTTCAAAGATGGCGCAGGGAACCGTGAAGGAGACTATTCTCTGGCTGTCGGGTGACTTGACTGGATTTGTGTGATATAATCTGTTTGTTATATTTGTATGTATTGCAGTTTTATGTCAACGTATACGTACCAAAAGTAAGTTGCAAGGTCAGTTGGTCTTTTCTAACCTCAAAGGGACGGTCAAATGCTAGAGTAACTTTGAACTCTTGTCCTCTCCTTATAATAAGACTTTCCATAGCATATTCATCAGTGTGGTGACCTGCACGGTTTTCTTCAATGTGGAAATCAACCTTCTCGGGCTTTAGTTGGGAAGCTGCAGCGGAAATAAATACGTTTAAAAACGCATCTAGCAAAAATAAACACTGCATCGTGCTCTGCTATGCAGTAATGGCATCCTGCAACACATTGCTATTTAGCAATGTGTTGCATGCACGAAGCATTATAATAAACATGCAACATGCAACATGCATTCCTCTGTTAGATGGCGTTAGAATGTATGCAAAGAAAAAAACAACAACAACAACAATAACAAACAAAACATAGATTGATACCAAATATTTGTTTACGGCAATGTTTACCTTCAATCTTTCTAGTACT